CTGTTCAGTATTTAACAGCACATCACTGGCGGAGCTAATGCATGGCATGGTAGGAAAATAAAATATTGTATGTTTTTCTTTTTTAGTATGATCTAGCCTATACTCTCTCCGGGAGTTAACGCTTGTCTTGAGACATCTGCATGTGTGTCTGATTCATTGGTTACCTACGGAATAACCAGGAAGGATCTTTACTCTGCTTTACTCTTCATCTCACATGAACTTGGAAAGATTCAGTCTGTTCTGGACTCTTTTACAGAAGCGTCCCTCTACTTCCACCCAATGGTAGCATTAGTAAACCTAAATGACTCCTATTTAGGAAAATGTACCAACAGGGATGACTGTCCTGGCAGAGTGAGAGGTAGTGGAGACTTTCTCTATGGAGGTTTGAAGATGAAGCTACTGAAAGGGGGCTGAGCAAAGGGAATAAGGCTAGAAATTGGGTGTGTCCATCAGATGACTCACTCCCTTGAAGGACTGAACGTGGAGTAGTAACCGAGAGGATGGCTTGCTCTGCTTCTTCTGAAGTCACATCCTGTTTGGTGGTGGTGGTGGGGCTGGACCAGGAGTTTCAGGGGGCAAGTTGAGACAGAGAGGTAGGTAGGAGGAGCTCACAACTCACCGATTTGGGACAAGTGAGAAAGCCCCCCTTCCCCAATATACAATGCAATGGGAGGAATGGGGAGGTTTTGTAGAGAAGTTTGTAGAAAAGCTGGTAGAGAAGTTGAAAGGAGCTTGATACTAGAAGTTTGCAGAAACAGGAAATTTAGATGAAGCAGAAAAAGAGAAGTGCAGCCCCCAAATGTGGATGTAGGTTGTTGTATTAAGATCAGCTGTGCCTATAAGGTGGGTGGAGAACTGAGAAATAGCTATGTGAACGTGGCCACTCCTATGTTGCAGGGCCACCATTCCCTGACCCGGAGAGGACACTTACTTCCTTGGAAGAAAATGAGTTTCAGGAGGTAGACACCCATTGGAGGCAGAGGATTGAGAGAGAATATAAGCACACTGTGAGAGGGGGGAGGGTACAAGTTCAACAGTGAATCGGGTTAAAGCAACTTAGGAGAGAAGACAGAGTACTTCCTGGGCTGATGATGGTCAACAATTTGCTTCTTGTAGAACTTTCTTTCCTTGACTTTCAAGACCTGCCACCCTGATCCTCTGATAGTTATTTCCCAATACGCCCAGGGATGATGAGCAGACCTCGAGTGGCAATGCACACTGCTGGTAATTAAACAAAGCCTTGAAAGAAAAACAGAAATTGGCCAGCTAAAACTTTTCTATAAATAAAGGGTTTCAGTTTTACTCTGATTTTATTTCTTGTAAAATGAGAATATGAGGAAAAAGATAAACTGTTCTCCCAGTTCTGGATCCCCAGCCTCTGGGGAGAGAAGGATGATGATTTTAGTTGTGGTTTGGGGTGGCACACCTTGTGGGGAAACAGTCACTACTGTGTGGCGGAGAGCTATGGCTGGCTTTTTGTCTCCACCGCCTCCATTGGGGACCAGTGTGATTTGCATTGGGTGATGAGCGCCACCTGCAGGTAGAAAACTGAAGGCAGAAGAAAATATCTGAATACTATCAAGCATTATTATGGATCAGGAATAAAAGCCCAGTAAACTCTTTTGGCCTGTCTTGGTTCTCTTTATCCTGAAATTTAGTTTCATTGTGATTAAGAGACACTATGTTAGGCCCAGCCCTATAGGAAGAAGCTGCTCTAATTTTGGCAGAGCCTAAGACCTGACTATCTCCTTCACAGGGAAAACAGAATTAATTCATCAGGGAGAACTCCCATGCCTTCCAATTAAGTCATTCAGAATTACCTACATCTATAATCCATCTCCACCTTGTTCCTGGTGCAGTGGGAAAAGTGTCCTCTTCCTAAAGTTAATGCCTTCAGGATCTGCTCCCACCTTCTTCCACAGCCTGTATCTTCAACCTTCACTTCTTTCTATCAGTATTTAAATATGCCGAAGACTCTTCCGTCTTAAAAATATTTTAAAAGCCGGAAAATTAACATAACAACAACTGCCTGATCCTGCAACCCCATAAGCTTCTGCCTAACTCCTTTTCCCCTTCACAGTCACACTTCTGGAAATAGCTGACTAGACTTCCTGCCTCCGTGTGTCCCTCCCTTCTTTTCAGTCCTCTGTCCACTGTCATCTCTGTCTCCTGCTTCCTCACTAGGAGACAGCGCTCGACAGGTCCCCAGAAGAGCAGGAGACGCTTCTGTCCCCTGATGTATTGGTAGTGTTTGAATAATAGTCCCTTCTTCTCACTGGAAACACGCTTTTATTGCGGGTCAAGGATATACACATTCCTAGCCTCTCTCCCACATTTCTGGCCTCCCCTTGGTGCTCCCATCGGGTAGATGTCACTATTATTGAGCCAGTTGCTCAGGCCATCTGTGGATGACCATGGACTCATCCTTGAGCATCTCCTCTCACTGCCCACATCCTTCAGCACGTCGTGCAGCTGTGCCCTTCAACATCCGTTGGGAATTCCATGTTTTCTCAGAAGGTCCTCCTGTGTCTCAGCCACCCTCACCTCTCACCTGGCGCACTACAGTAGCCACTCAGTGGTCTCCTTGCCTCTACTCTACATACCACACAGCAGCCAGAGTGATTCCGCACAAGTAAATCACATCGCGGACCTCCTTTTTTCTCACCCCTCCCAGGTTATCCCCTATCGCCCTTAGGCCTCAGGTTACATGTCACTTCCCCATAAACCCTCCCTGAGCCCCTCCTAATTTGTTCCCGAAGCACCTGCATATTCCTTCCAAGAGCACTTATACCAGTGTGTCTGAACTCCTCTGTTTCCACAGCTTTGTGAGCTCGGAGAGCGCAGAAACTATGTCCACCTGCTGAATCCATCTGGAGTACATGGCACCTAGTAAATATTCCATAAAAAACTGTGAATGTACTGTCCGCCCCAGTTTCTAGACATATAATGTTAACAGATCAGGGAACAAACTGCAAAAGAAGGAAAGTCAGGTAAAATTCTGTTAATTAACTGATTGTTGAAAGAAGTTCTGCAGACATTCTAAAGAGTCACAGTTTGATGAGCTATTTTATTTTCTTGTAAAATGTCGGCCTGTGGCAAAAATAAAACTTTGTGTTTGCACGAGGTTCTGTGACAAAGCTGCTGATGCCATCTGCGTACATGTGTGAGTGTCACATCAGCCCTGAGTTTGGGAACCCGTGTTCACAAGTGGAAGGAGATCAGCCGCGGGTAGTGGCAATGGCTAACCTTTGCTGTGGGCCCCAGACGAAGGTGAAGATTTGGGGGGCGGCTAATCAAAGCCCGGGCTGCTTTTGACAGCCAAAGGCAGAACATAAAGGCAGGGAGGAGTTTTCCAGGAAACGAAAGCGAAAGAGGCCAAGTTAACTGCCCGGAGTTGTGGGTGGAAGTGGCAGTCCGGGCCGGGCGTTCGGAGCTGAGGATGGCTGAGCCCCGCCACTTCCCGTTGCTGGTTGAGGGGTCCTGGGGCTCCGATCCACCGAAGAACTTGAGCACCAAGTTGCAGATGTACTTCCAGAGCCCGAAAAGATCGGGAGGCGGGGAGTGTGAGGTCCGCCAGGAGCCCGGGAGCCCGGGCCGATTCCTGATACTCTTCTTCCCGAACGACGGTGAGTGGGTGAGAGGGGACAGCCGGGCTTTTTCCTCAGGGGAAACTTGGAACTGCGGCGCCCAGCGGGAGAATCTGCCCAGCTCCAGCAGCAGCGATAGGGGAGGGTGTGGGGGTTGCAGGATGGACAAAGAATGCAGCGGGGAGGGTGGGGGAGGGAAGGGAGGTGACGCTGGTGTTCCTCTCCCCTGCGCTTTCTGGCGCCCACTGGTGTTCCTTGGAGGTGGCCGCAGGACCGCGCAAGGGAGAACAGAAAGGAGCTGACAAATATCTGGTTCAGTCACCACTTTTTTTTTTTTTTTAATAACAAAGCTACATAGTGTGTTAATGGCAGAGTTGGAATTCCATTGCAATTTTTGTCTTCCGCCTATTAAAGCAGCAGTTCTAGAGCTCCAGAGGTTTATGGAAACATGATTTTAAGGGAAGATAAAGTTTCCAGGGACAGTGACATCTGATTCCGGACGGTGAATTCAGCTCCTGATAGGCGAAATATTCAGGAGGGCTCTTCAGATGGGAGCACCCTGCATGAATCAGTGCCGGGGGCAGGAAAGTAAAAAGGCATCTTTAGCGAACATGCAGGGTGGCTTGACCAGAGGGTGGCCTTCTAATCTACGTGCTCAGGGAAGGTCTGTAGCCTGGATAATAAAGAGAACATGGGGGCTCTGCAAAATTGTATATGATTATATTTTAAAAATCTTAGGCCTTCTGTTATTAAACCCTTTCGTGAAGAGGTTAGGATGAAAGTTGGGTTGAGATGACAGACAATCGTGTATGACACGATAAGAAGTATTCACTTTCCCCCACTGTCAGGTAGGGGAGACACATGTCCAAATATACTTCAAGGAGATCAATGCGGTTGAAAATGCCAACATTGATTTCTGTTCAGAGAGCCTATGAAAATAAGACCTTTAAAGAGATTCATGCAGTGTTCTAAGTGAGGACAAGTGAGTCCTTGAAAGTCAGTGTGGGGATAAAAGATACATATTTGTGGACTGTTCTGGATTTGGTAACTGATTCTATGGGAATGGTCAATGCTCCATTTGAGAAGGAGGGTCTCTTTTATTTCTGTTGATTTTTAGTGGTGAAGGTAAGGGGTTAAACAATGCTTGGAGTCATGGGGATTTCCCCACTTTTATTTCTGTTGATTTTTAGTGGTGAAGGTAAGGGGTTAAACAATGCTTGGAGTCATGGGGATTTCCCCACGGGTCATGGAGATTCCCAGTGGTGTGGGGTTACCTGGGAGAGGGACTGAGGCACTCCCTAAAGTCACATGGCCTGGGTGAAATAGTGATTGGAGGGGGAGGGCAGTGTGCTGTTGATCAACACAGTATTGAGTTCCACTGGTACTTCCTCCTTCAGTTTCAAGGTTGTCCTCAGACTGGGTTGAATGTGGTTGGGAGTTTCAAGGTTTTGAGGAGGAGTGTCCCTCCCCACAGGCAATTGAGCAGCTTAGTTCTCCCCCTCCTCCCCTTGCTGTTTCCATTTAAGAAAGGGGGAGCACATACCCACCCAATATCTGCTTGCTTAAGATACCCACCAGGTCCTGTACTGGGAGGCACGTGACCTGCTGCTTCTAGAGCACACACTTTTCCCATTGGACTCTCATAGGAAAGGATGTGGACAGCCCCTGATCCTGCCTTCTTGTTACTGGATTTGGAGAAGCATTTGGGCCCCAGGAGAGGCAAGGAGTCTTACAAGGCCCTGAGAGCAATTGGAATGCTCTAGGCGGGGATCTAGAAAAGGAAGATGAAACCCAGAAAGCAGAGGGGTGCACAGATAAGAGTGAAGGAAGTGAGGCGGGCAGGGGACAGGAGACTCAACTAGCTTGCCTCAGAGCCTTTATAAAAACACACAAAGTTTTCTAAGGATTAATCTCACCAAGGAATGCTCAGTAAGGCAGCTGTTTATTGTAAGTCATTTCCTCAAGGATGTTACCACTTTGATTCCAACTGTTAACATCCCTTGAGCCTGGCCCTTAGGGACATTTCCTTTCTCTTCAGTATCCCATTGTCCTCAGGAGTAGTTCTCAAATTGGGGCCACACACCCCCTGCATCCCAACTCACAGTAGGCTAAACAGACATAGTCCCAGCTCTGTACTAGAGACTCAGGAATCCTGAGTGTGGTTGGGTAGGAATTTGCACTTTGAACCAGCACCCCAGATGACCTTGCTGTACTGAAGTTTGGGAATCCCTGTTGTTTGTGGATGACCCTGAATGAACAAAAAGAAAAGTGATTATAGAAAGTGCAAATAGTGTAAAAATACAACCAGTGCAATATATAATTTTGTGATGATAACATCATTCTCTTCTAGTCCCTCAAAGCGGAACCGATTTCAGTCTCCTTCCAGTCTTCTTCCTTCACATCTCCCAGCCCACGACCCCCTTCCATCCCCCCCAGGCCACTCCCTTTGTGTTACCCTCAGCACAGACACCTCAAAACTTAGTGCAACTCGTGACCTTTTATGGTCAGAGTTCTTGAAGTATGGAAAGTCCCTATTCAGTTTCAGTTTCCTACTAGGCGAACCGCTTTCTCAGCAGCAAGTTGCCAGGAATTTGATAACAATGCGTGACCTGCCTTAGCAGTCCTAGGGCAAGTTCTGCAGGGATTCCCTCCCCCTCCATGCTAGCAAGTGGCCGCAGCAGGTGTAGGCCCATAGTTTAACATGACTTTAGTCATATAACTCACATAATAAGAATGGGTCCACCAGCATTTTCTCTGTAGACATTATAGCACCCAGGAATGATTTAGAAACTGTATTTTACTTTTATGTGGTTTAACCAAATTTCTGAAAAATTGAGTATAAATTGACTTAAGAGGATTTTAAACCCTGTTTCAGATGTGTACATGTATCGTCCTTTTTGGTCATAATTTGGCACCTGATTATTGTCAGTCTCTTTGCGGTAAGGGAACCCATCTTCTCTTTAAATAAAGTAAATGTGGATGGTCTGAGGTTGGTACAGAAGGGAGACGTCCACATGGGTAAGAGGGGGATGGACATCAGAGTTTCAGCTCTTTTTCCTCCCAGATTCACCTTGTTAGCAAGCACTTACTGATATTGCTGCCTTCTGTTCTCTTGAAATGGTAGTGCCCATACATACACATTGCACACAGAACAGGCTGGCATGTTTAGATGCCTGGATAAGACTGTACCAAAGTCTAGGGAATCATAAAAGGAATGCATTACAGAGGTCCATGACTGGACAACTTATCTTACAAAGCTTAGCTTCCTCTGTTGCTTTGGGGGTCATATCCTGTCCTCCTTCTAGCTTAGGACAGTCCCTTAGGAGTCTGTGTAAAATCATCTTCCCTCCGATAAAGAGTGAAATTAGAGTCTGGCATCCCTTCTCATATTGTTTCTGGGGTCAGTTTCATCCACTTGGCATCCAGTAAGGCCTCACTTCCCCTACCCCTTTACGGATTGTTGAGGTGCACAAGCTATTGAAGACCCTCCTTTTGAAAGATTCCTACCTATATCCTTGGCCTCATCAGGCCAACCATATCAGAATATAATGGTAACCCAACATTCATGCCAGAGTTACACCTGTGAATAGTAGGGCACTCTCAAGGTTCCCCTTCACCCCTGACCTCTTGGTACCATCTGACTCTGTCAACCACAACTTCTTATCTAAACTCACTCATTTTCTGCTCTCCACAGTCTGAGCTACACTGTTTACCCTTTCTCTCTCTAGCTACTTCTTTGTATTATTATAACTTGCATTTATATAGCTCTTGTGGGTGTTACAAAATTCATTCACAGACACTGGTTTAAGCAAGGAAACAGACTTAAAAAAAGTTAAGATATTTTCTCAATGTCACTCATCTATTTGTGGCAGAGTTGGAATTTTAATCCAGGTTTGTGAATGCTTATGTCCACTGTTAAGTTTTTTCACTGCGCCCCAGATGCCTGATGTGCTAATGTTTAAAAAAAAAAACTCTCCCATCCCTTCTTTTCTACTCCTTTTACTAATAAATACGAGGCTCGCATCTTCACAGGTTAAGGAATGGATTGAAACAACTTTTTAACTAGGTTCCTGTCCATTCTGCTCAGGGCCACCAGCATCACCTTCCTAAAACATGGCTTTTATCACGCCAGGCCCCAACACCCAGGATTCACTGGCTAACCTCAAGGGATGCTGTAATTATTTCCTCTTACTATAAAATAAATATTGTTCCCTTTCCGAGTACCTACTGAGCATCAGGTTCTATACTAAATTCTTTATAATGTTTCTTCAACTTAATCCACATAACACCCCTATAAGACAGTCCTCATTGATTATTTATTAATATACAAGAAGACTGAGGCTTTTGAACATGCTGAAGTTTAAAAAAATAACTTTAAAGATGGAATTCAAATTCAAATCTGCTTGCCAAACTTTACTTCTCACGACACAAGACCTCTCTTGGGGAACTGACCAAACCATTGATTGATGATGACAAAGCCTGTGGAAATCATGGAATAATTTTTTTTTTTTTAAGAATTTTTATTGGGGAATTGGGGGGATGGGAACAGTGCTGGGGAATTGGGGGAAGGGGAACAGACAAGTTACTGTCGTTTTTGTTCTTCAGTCTAGTTGTGGAGGACGTTGCTTCACTGGCGCAAGTTGGCACCATCATTGCGCTCTTCCTGGGCGAGGCAGATCAGTCGCCGGCTTCTGGACGGCCGCTCACTGCGGCTGCTGGCCGCTCACGCTGG